TGTAATGGTCAGGCCAGTCTGTGAGAAGAAGGCTTAAACTTCTCCTGTTGCACAGGGTGCTGGGTCTCTCTCTTTCCCTTGAATCTGACAGCAACCACATTTTCAGAAACGTGGCCCCAAAACACGAGTGTATCTCAGCAGAACTTGAAAGCAAGTTCTTCTTTGAGTTTGATTTCTCAGTTGGCTTTTAAAAGCTGTGCAGTCGTGCAACTACATCATGTACCTTCCCCGAGTAATGACCACAACTGGTCCCCAAATGTTTACCAGCACAAGGATGCCTACATGCAGGAAGTGGGAAATGGGGGTGGGTCTGGTAGTTACTCTTGATGTGGTCAATCTGCCACTGACCTTGTTTGGGTAAGGGGAAGGGGAGGATGTGAAAATGAGACTCTGCTTTAATCTCTTGTGTGCATTTTATCTCCCCTCCAACTTTCTAAAGAAGTTTCATCTATTAGAGCCAGCTCCCTTCCCTCCTTCTTCCCCTTACGCTTACAGCTCTCGCAGGCGCAGGGAGAACAGCAGCAGCAGCGGCAGCTGAGGCTGAGTCGCACAGGCTTGTTGTTGAGCTGAAGTGGTGATAGCATCAAAGGAAATGGATGGGGATTTCTGAGATCAGAGCTGTTAGGGCCATTCATGATTTGTTGCCAGGCTGAAAGCTGCTGCAGAGAGAGCTGCCTGAGAAATGCTGATTAATACGGTAATTGAGGTTTTCTATGAGCGAGAAGGAAAAAATGAAAATATGACTAAAAATGTTCTTTTTGAAATGAACAACATTTTGAGATTGCACATTCCAGACAATAGTGGGTACTGGTATGAAAGATTTCTATAAAAGAGCAGAAAACTGCTGGTTGAACAGGGCGTCTTTTTATGTTTCTCTATTAAGGAGGAAGGTCAGAAGGTCAGTCTATATATTTCTTTAATGGCAGAGTTTCCTTTGTGATTCTTACTTCAGTACACATTCTTAACAATTTGTTTCTGTCTCTTCTTTCTTGATAAACTTAGTTTTATTCCAGATCAGGCACCATTAGGCTAGACCTGCATGCCAGTTAAATCCCTTCTCCTGCGCTACAGTCCTTCTGGGCTCAACTTCACTGAGACACCTGGAGCTAATTTCAGGATAGCCTCGGACTGTGCCACGGAGTTATTTGAAGTCGGTAGCCTTCATAGGCTGTACTCGCCTCCCCAGGCTCTGGGGAGGGCGCCGCACTGGCCTGGGATATTGGCATCCTCCTGTCGTCCTGACAAATATTTCACTTCATCTGATCTGATCTAATCTCTGCTTCCTCTTCTTCTCCAGTCCAAAAGCATTCTCAGTTCGTTGAAAGGCAGATTTGCTTTTCTCCTGCTCTCCTTCACATTAAGAAGATCAGCCCCTGAAGGAAACACATCAACCCTTCTTTCTTGCCCACCCCCCCTTTTTTCTTTCAAGCTAACAGGGAAGTGAAAAGCTCTGAAACAGCTGCCTCTCAGAGTGAGACTATTTTTCAGTAAAATAATCACCTTCAGTATGACTACATTGTTTTTCTGTTCTATGTGGTGTGACTCAGCATCAGTTAATTAACCCAATCAAGTAGGCCGGATTTCTCTCCTTTAATGAATGGTTCCTCCTACTTCAGAGCCTTCCTAGACCTCATTTTGGATGCGCCTCGGTTTTACCGGGTATATCCAATTACATTTATATCCTTCAGCCCAGTGCTCGGGCCACCTCTCTTGTGGAATTACGCTGTGGTGGAAGTTAAGCCAGGACGCTCACTTGCAAGTAGTTGCCCTACTTATGTCTGCTGCCACAAGCCCTCCTGTGTTAGCACATACGGAAGGTCTTTACACAGATATACTATTCTCAGCATCACAGACCGAAAATGGCAAGTAATCCTTTCCACACGTCTTTTTATCAGAGGGAGGAGGAGCAGGTTAAGGGAAAGGGATGTGTGTATACCCGTCAGAGAGACAGACAGGCACCCGATTGCATAAAACGTGCTTTTCTTTTTCCTCTTTCTCCCTTTTTCCTGTGAAGAAGGACGTAACACCCAGATCACCCCAAAATGCAAGTGTGTGTGTGTTTAAAAGAAGAATGTGAAACTAGCTGCCACGTAAAGTGCTGGGAAAGTGATGAGAAATACACTCGCAGACGGGTGAGAAGAAGGAAAAGCGTAGTAGAGTTGCCTCGCAGTGCAGCAGCTAGCGTTCACAGTGGGCTGTAGATGGCTATAAATGGAACTGTGCATCACCGTTCCTCTGAGCCCGAGGACGCCTCGCTGAAGAGACAGGACCACTGAAGGAAGTAAGGCATCTGGTTGT